CACCAGCTGGGTGCGGAGCATCATTCCAGTGTCCTGACGCATCAAAGCTGTGCGTGGATGTTTTAGCAGGTATGACAGGTATGTGCAAAGGCAAATTAACACAATAACTCCAAAGAACCAAGAGAGACGGTGAAGACACGATCAGAGGGGCGGCTGTTTTATTACTTCATTATTTACTGGTGCTGTATCAGGCTAATGCATGTATTCTCCTGCAGCCTCATAACTACAGTCACATAAACACGCTGCCATTTTTAGGCTCCATGATTTTATTTGACCTGAAATATTTTTTTTCTTGACTCTGCGATATTTAATTATGTTACTTATTTATAACTGTTAATAGCCTTTAACAGACATAATTATTTTCCCGAGGGTCTGAGAGGTTTTATTTTCTGACGTTATTAAAATATTTTACTTTATTACACATTAACTACACATGAACTCAACTGCCGCTGTCTGGGTGTCATTCCCCGCACACAGACACACATTATAACCCACAGTCATCCTGTCACGATGACATTTTCTTAAGTTTTTGATATTTCCATACTCGACAAATAACCCAGGTTTGTGCTCTGGGATTATTATAGTTTATTATATGTACATAATAATTTATTGTACTGGCATTTGGTTTTATTTACCTGTATATTTATTAAAAGTAAGACCCGTGTTATTTTATTCCATCTCCGTAATAAGCCTAACCTGAATCGGCCATGGCACGCCTGTACTCTGATAACGAGCGCGGAGCTCTCGCAGTGTTAGCCTGGCTTAGCCTGCTAGCTGCCCCGCCGGTGAGCTCACGGTGTCCCGGGGACAGCGGACCTGGCCGCTGGAAGCCTCGGACACTCACGACGAACTCAACAGCACCGACTGCCGCTGCCTGGGTCTCATTCTCCGCCATGTCAGCTCCAAGGGGCTAACTTACGTCAGATTCCCCGGTGACAGCTACAGGCTAACAGACGCTATCAGCGCTCCTCTCCCGGAGACAAACTAAGCAAACAAACCCGACGCCGGGCTGCTGTCAGCTGCTACGGACAGTTACTGAATTCCGGAGGGTTTCATCGCGGGAACCGTATTTGATTCCTGGGCTCAGAGGTGGGTTTAATGGCATTATGAGCCGCCATCACGGAGGAAAAGTGAAAATTTGTAAAACTTACCAGCAGCTCCCGTGTCTTCTGCATCTTCCGTGAAATCCCGGAGCGGAGCGTCTTCTTCCGACAGAGGAGCGTCCACCATGCCGCACTCACGGGCTCTGCTCCGCGCTTCCGGACACCCTTTCAAAATAAGACCGGCAGCGGAAATGGGCGGTCCTCTGACGGATCTTTCAACAACCGAGGTGTTACTGCTTTCAATAAAAAGTAAACATCAGCAGCGAAATAAAATCATAAACGCGGAGGCTGCAAACAGGCGGAGCGGGGAGGCCTAAACCACTTATTATATCAAAATAAAAGATACAAATAAAAATATATCGACTAAAGCAACTACACCAGCTCCTGCACTGAAACTTAATTAATTATTATTATTAATTATAAATTAATTAATTTTTTATTCTAATGAAGCTGCGCTGCAATTTTTCAAGCATTTTCTGAATTTGCTTATTTCATAAGTATTACACCTCAGCGTGTGCCTGTTGTATACTTGTTTTTATACGGTTTTAAGTATAAAACAGGTGAGATGAGAATTGACTAATGGCGAAGTAGTGCTGTTTTTTAAGGGCAGTGTTTGAAAAAGCGCTTTTCATACCCACCTGGGCAGACAGGTTAGCCATAACGCCGCTACTGGCTGGCTTTTATTTTGAATACACAGTCACCTCACTTCCTGTTAGGTTTCAGATGACTTAGCTCACCGTGCCAGAAAGTTCCTCTGGTCAAAACACAGATCCTGTGTGCTGCAGCACATGACTCACTACCACCAAATACTACAAGTACTACTACTACGTCATGTCATATAATTTATCTTATAACGGATATCAGTACTACCTGTAACTATTGCTGATACTTATATTTCATTGCTAAATTTATTATTACATGTGTTTTTATATTTGTCCATAATGGACATTATTTATTTAAAATGATTTATTTCAGGGAAGTTAAATGTCACCGTTATTACTGTCCCCCCGCCGGAACTGTCCAAATTCAGAGGCTGCATCCACCTGAGGACCCTGAGCGAGGAGGGTCCTCAGGTGGAGTGGGCCGGGTCCTTTAATAAAGTTTTATTGAATCTAATCTAATAACTTTAATCTCAGCCAAACCGATTTACTCAGGAACAAATAAAACACTGAAAAAAAAATCAAACAATAACATGTTTAACCTGAGTAGCGAAAGACCGCTGGGAGTGTGAAAACGATGCGCCGGGAGTTCGCTGTTATCGCTGGCTCAGATATTTGCAGCTACATTCTCGCCTGAAAATATGCTAAAAGTTTATTTTGCGACTCAGAACGAGTAATATTAAAACTTAAAAATTAAATTAAAAGTAGCTGCCGCCATTGCTGGAAACTGGAATTGGCTGGGCCACGCTATGAATTCTGGGATATGGTTTTTTTTTGTTGTTGTTGTTGTCCGGGTGGAAAATCAGGAGATTTTCGGGAGAATGGTGGTTCCGGGAGATTTTCGGGAGGGTCACTGAAATTTTGGCTTCTCCCGGAATAAGCGGGAGGGTTGGCCTGTATACACCCACCTCATCTATGGGATCTAGGGCAGTGTCCAGGACAGAGCTGGCCCTCATTAACAGTCTATTAAGCTGTTTCCTGTCGGTTTGCCCAGCAGACAACCCCCATACAAGATAGTGTTAGTGATGTCCCACACACCCCAAAAGGCCTCAGCCTGCCAGCAGATGGAGCGACTTTGGCTGTTCTCGAGTGTCAGCGTTATCCGACCAGTCCAGCTTATTGTTCAGTTGAACATGGAGGTATTTGTACCTGTCCACCCTCGATGTCCAAACTGTGGATGGGTGGTGGTTTCCTCCAGAAGTCGACCACCATGTCCTTCATCTTACTGGTGTTGATGTGCAGACTCACAGTCCTGAAGCCTCTGTGATCTGCTGGTGATGTAACCGACTGTCCATGCAGTCAGGTGACTCCAGGTGACTGAATTAAAGGCACTGAAGAAGTCTAAAAACATGACCCTCACAGTGCTTCCAGTTGTCTCCGGGTGCGACAGTGAGCTGTACTCATTATTTTAATATTTTATAGGACATTACAGTTAATTCTTGCTATAAATATTGTTCATAATGGTTATTCTAAGACAGGACTGGTTTAACTGGCAATTTACTGTCTGTATAACCCACTAATTAACAGCTAATGAATCACTAAGGAACCCTGAATAATGGCTCTCTCACTCACTCACTCACTCTCACATATAGAGATCGACAGACCACGTGACTTTCGTCCATTGCATTGTGGGTATGAGTGGCAACAAAATCAAAACCCTGCATCAAGCGCTAGTCTTTCCAGCACCGGTAATCATTAATTCTTCAGTTTTAATCCCTACTTGCATTTTATTTGCCCCAAAAATAGTTCTGTACAAAATGACGGAGAACTCTGCAGCTCCGTACGAAGACAGACGTGACGAAAAGGCAACATAAAGTAGGAGGAACAAATCAAAGGAGTGGAAGGGTCAGACCCGCACGAGCACAGAGTGGAGTAAGGACGTCAGCCTGCTGCCCAACTGTCATCACGCACATATTTATTATTATATGGTCCTAAGTGTGAGTGCACACACTCACAACATGTTTAGTAACTTCAGATCCTGCAACAAGCCCAGCTCCAGTTTACTTTGATTTGGACGACTCCATCTCACAGCATTATTGTTTCATTCTATTATAGAATCTTACAAGATACTCCATCCTGCTTTACTAGCTGCTTCGGTGAAAAACAAATCAACAATGCAAAAAACCCAAAAAGAAAACAACATACTGGAAAACAGTTATTCATCACTTGCTTCAGTACAACCCTTCGGCACATATATGCAGACGTTTCATGGCTGTTTTGATCTCGCTCTCTCTCGTCACCGATCAGATCTGGCTGTGGTAGCAGCTTTAAACTCGGCTCTTCGACTGGCTGCAATCCAGTCGCCTCTTTGTTACCTCGGAAACGTGGCTTAAACAATTTCTCTTCCACCACGTAATCCGATAACAACCGATCTTTTTACCCGTCGGCCTCCTGTGGCTGTCATGCGACCGGCTATTGCAGTTAATAATACAACAGCTTCTTGCCATTTTTTGTGTTTCTTTTTATCGCTGTGTGACTGTTTTCACGTGAAAGCCTGCGTGCACTAGTACCGCTTGCCACTCGTTCCCAGAATCCTTTGCGGTTCTACCCGTGAATGACGTCACATTTTCAATCAGTTACCCAAACATCCGACAAACAGGGTATTAAAGAGATTTCCTTTAAGTTGATTCATAGGTTTTACCCTACCAAACAATATTTGTCCAAATTTATGGCTGAAATAAATGTAAATTGCACCTTCTGTCAAGAGCAGCCTGAAACAGTTTCTCATCTGTTTTGGTCATGTAAGTAAATTTACATGTAAATTTACATGTAAATTTACGTGTAAATTCTGGAAGGATTTCCACAAGTTTATTACTGACTTTGTTCTCCCTAATCTTCAACTGTACTATAAGGATGTTATCTTTGGCTATTATAATTTTAAAGACAAGGACAATGATGCTTTCTTCTTTATAAATTTGGTTTTATTTTTGGCAAAATTTCATATACACAAAAGCAAAGTCCTCGGCAGAAAGCCTGAACTTCTTGTATTAAAAATGGAACTTGCACAATATATAAGGACAATCTCCTCATCAAAAAACACGAAGGCTCTCAAGACTGTTAACATCTGTAACCGATTGAAACTGCTAACTTGATTTTGGCTCTTGCAAACTTTTGTTTATTTATGTTCCCCTTAATTTATTTTATTTTTTGTACTCACTTTTGTCCCACTGTCCTTGTCCCTCTCTCTGTTCCTCATTGTACTACCACAATGTCATCTGTTATGTGATTCCTGTTTTACTTGACTGTATGTCTAAAATGTGATAAATAAAGTTTAAAAAAAAAATCCGACAAACAGGGTCTGGGAGATGTTTTGGTGGAGGTCATGACCTGGCTCAATGATTTAGGAAATGTCTGATTGAAAGCAACACTTTATTGCTCACCTTTTCATCATTTATAAATAAACATAATTATAAGAAGACTCTCAGGTAACCTCACAGGTATGTTTGGACTGTGGGAGGAACCCACAGGAACAGGCAGAACACGGAAACTCCGCACAGACAGAGCCAGCCGGATTCAAACCCCGGACCTTGGACCCGGACCCCGGATCTCTGTGAGTAACGCGCTGCTCCACCGCGCAGACCGGTCAGTGAGCCGACACGGATAATTGAATCGACAGAGAGCCTCACACGCTGCTATACGATCTTTGGAACTACCGCGGTTGGTGCTTAAGGATGCTTCCGCTTCCGCTGTAACCCGGAAACACAATAACAGCTGGAAACAGCGGATCGATTAGCTGAGCGAGTCCGGCTGGTTTGTTGTTTATCCTCGGTTATCTGAGCACGGTGGGTCGGTACTGCGGTGGCAGGAGGAGAGCCGACATGAAGACCCAGATTGGCGGATCAGCCTGAAGCCTGTTCCCGTTAGCAGCCTTTAGCATCAGTGCTACGGCTAGCGCTGCTAGCACGCTGAAGCTAATAGCAGCAGTAGCTGTAGTCCAGTGAGAGCGAACGGCTGCAGGTTTGTCTGCTTTTTACCGTGTACTTCCCTCAGAGAGATGCTAACTGTTAGCCTCCGAGTGTTTTAGTGTGTTTGTGGTCTCACAGCCGGTTTCAGTCCGAGCTCTGGAAGCTCAGGCTCTCCCGCTGATGTTCCTCTGGGTCAGGCCGGTGTCCCAGCTTAACTTGTTGGATCCGTTTACATCTGCCAGATTAAAGATCTCCAGCTCGTGCAAATGCATACACGCATCGATATTATTTCCAGACTACAGCGAAATTATTTGTAATTAAAAACAGAGATTAGAAAGTCTAACGCCTGGTCTCGTGTCTCTGTGTTTCTGTAACGTAAATAACGAGCGGACATTTTCCTCACACACCACCGATCAGCTCCACGGACACTCCAGTTTACACGCCTGTTCGCCCGTCGGCGGTTTAATACTTGCCCACGTTACCTAGTGATGTCACAGTTTAACGTGGGCAGATACGTGTCGTCCTCACAACAATCTGTAGGAAATGAGCAGATGGAGCTCGTGTTTCTGCCGTCATGGTTTAAAGATGACAAACAGAGGAGGGAGGGTGGACGCCG